CCGCCGTTCGTCGCGATCAGGGCGGATATGGACGCCCTCCCTATTCAGGTTGTCGTCTGGATTTTTAATCATGTGATGGTGAAAATTTTAGGAGTTAGTTTTATTCTTGATCGAGCATATCATGCATATATGGTTATGGTATAGCACGCACGCATGATTTTGGTCCTCTTAGCGAGTATCATTCCCAAATTTTGGACCTAAACACCTGTCAAGGGAGCAAAATGTTTTGCCTGGATTTATTTGCTTTACTGTTGATGTTGGAGATGGTCTTTTTGCAACAAACAACTCAAATGACCAACAATTGAAAATTTGAACGATACTGAGTAAACTGGACTACACCTAACTACTACTACTACGTGCAAGTGTAGGTCCTTTGCTGGCTCATCAATTTTTGATAAAAATTTATAAGGGAGGAACCCCACAACACAACTCCCCGCACACGCTGCGTGGGGCGTTCTGATCCATAGAGATGCCAACTTCAACAGTATTGCCCCCTACACCCCTGGTGGCAGGGTGTTCCGATAGGATGTCTGATTCCACTTCTCTCTGGTAGTTTGGGGAGTCTATTCTTGAAAAGTTGCCCCCTGTTTTGGAGGATGTACTGCACATTAGTGGCCCCATCTCATGCTTATTGTCACAGCTTTACCTTTCAATCAGAATTGTACTGCCCATAGGGGAGGAAATGTATTGTGGTCCATCTTCTGTTTATATTTCAAACGGGCATTGCTATAAGACCCTCGTTTGGTACCCGTTTGCATACCCACAAGGTTCTTCAGGGAGAAAATGGAAGGGGAGAGGGACAGATCCAACAAGTTTGCATAGGATCCCATGAAACTACAGGACTGGAACTTTAGACTGAGACCAAATAGATGAAGGTAGTATTTCTTGGCTTTGTTGAGCATACTATGTAAACATATGAAGAGAAGGATGTGGCTGGATGTTTGAAAAGGTTAACTGTGAATAGCCCTATAATATGGCCCGATTGCAGATAGACACCTGTAGTTTTATTGTTTGCAGATGGACCCCCTCTACGACGACCCAATTGTGAATAGACTCGAGTAAACTTTTTTACTCTTTTACCCTCAAGAGGTCTATTTGTTAGAAAATGCTTTTATCTTTCTCTGATGGTAAAAGAGTCAAAATTGTTCACTCGGGTATGTTTATCTGTAACAATAGAACTATAAGGGGATCCGTCCACAACTGGGCTATAGTACAAGGTTTTTTTTTTTTTGCAATTAACCCTTTGGATAGTGTTGTGATATGACAGAAAGATGAGCGGATGTTGGAGAGATGATTGAAATTGTTTTTTATTTTTATTTTTATTATAATTCTTGTAACATTCCTACTAGAGTGAATTTCTTATTATGTTCCATGAATGTGGGTTGAGTTGAGTTCCAATATAAATGAGCACTAAAGTTTTAAGGGAGAAGACATTAATTTCAGCAACACTCAGATATTTGCTTTATATATAATTTATAGTACAGGCGTCTTAGTTATTCAATAGTTACAATATTGCCAAACACTTGTGTTGACATTTTATTTTTCTTCTCTGCTGCTGCTGATAAGTTTTTTTCCTTGATTGTTAATTTGTTAATAAATAAGCCTCTGCTGCCAAGTAAATGTTGAATGAGTGGATTTGTTTTCACAGGAAGCTGTTGAGTGGAAGCACAAAAGCAAGGTTCCTGGAAAAATGCATGCTTGTGGACATGATGCACATGTTGCAATGCTCGTTGGTGCTGCCAGGATATTAAAGGCCAGAGAACATCATCTAAAGGTTCTTCCCCCACTTTTATTGTTATGCCGAGTTGATATTATTCATATCCAAACATAAATCTGGTTACCTAGTACTTTCTTTTTTACGTTATTTTGTTTCTGTGGATATTTGTCAATCTGCTGGTTGAAATACAACTTGGCAACATAGGATTAGAGAGCTAAGTGCAGTAGTGGAAGCACCATAACATAGACCACATCTCCTCAACCTCGAGCAGTCGACCTATGAAGCTCCTTTATTTTTCCTTGCAGCTGGTTCATTTTGCTATTCATACTTGTTCGACTGGAAGAACCTATTATTTCTTAATGACGAGACACTTTCTTTGCGTTATATGGAGTTAGAATAGCCTTATTTCTCCTATTTCATATCGACTAATATTACTGGTTGATGGATGACTTGAGCTATAAAATTTAATCATACTTTGTGGATATTCTAATTAATGGTCTTTATTTTATGTTTTTCTCTCTTAATTATATTGAGCTATATATAACGCCAAAATAGTAATTGCTCATGTTTGAAATCTTTTGTTCCAGTAGAGTGGTGACATTTGAGGAATGATCAATTCTTTGCTCCCACCAAGCTGGGCGATAGCTTGCAGATTATCCTAAAAAGCCATGAGATAGATGGGGTCTACTGTTCAATTGTACTGTTTGGGATTCTTATTGGTGGATCTGTTGGAAAATATGAGTCCTAGCACTATAATCTGATTAAAATTTTGTCACGCTTAGGTTGACTACATCATGTGTTAGAATATGAAACTATCACCTATTCATCAACCTGCACCATAAGTTCAGAAATTTGGTGTAGTAACAGGGCCTTTGACATGATACTAATGCAACCTAGGTTCAATTTCAACTAGTCACAAGTTTAATGCGGATTTAAAAGAAATTGATAACTGCATGGATCCAGGTTTCAGCCCATAAAAGAGCGCCCAACTAGTGGGGGCATGTTAGAATATAAAACTATAACTTTTCTCACTATAACTTTGGAGGTTTGGTGCAATCGCAGGGTCCTTTGACATCATGCTTATCGAATATCAAAAACCTCAAAGGAGGATCTTATAATATAATATTTTCTTCATCTTTCTACATTATCAATATATGATCAATATAACCAGGGGCTGAGCCATGTATGGGTCAAATGGGCCCTGGCCCTCCCTTGAAATATAAAAGAAACCTAAGTGGGTATACTGGCAACTAGCAAGCCATGAATGCACTACTAACCTACTTCTTGCTTATCTACTCTGATAATCTATCTACCTTCCTTGTTTTAGCTTGTGTCATAGCTAACTACAATGGAAACCTAAGCCTACAAAAGCACATAGCTAAATGCTACAAAAAGACTAGAGGGAAGGAAGCAGATGAGCTAGGAAGCACTAAAAATAGCTAAGAGCCTATTCTATGTGCTAGGATGTGTTCACCCTTCATGAAATTGCTAGTGTATTGAACATCTTAAAACTCAAATTTTCCAAGTAGAGGAAAAACATGATACTACAGCTACTAGTCCTTGACAAGAGCTGTAATGTTCAATCTACTTTTGTTTTTTTATACCTCTCATGTCATGCACATTTGCAAAAGTACACCAAAGTCTCAATAGTTTCAAAACTACCCATAAATCATCAACTTTGGGGAGGAAAAACACCCCAAATCGACAACTCATTAACTTTGTCGTATATGATGAGTGAACATGTGAATTTTTTAAAATATTTTTTACATTGCAATTGTATATTAGCATATAAAAGTTAATGATTTTGTTGATTTAGGGATATTTTCTTCAAAGTTGATGATCTGGGGATAGTTTTGCGAATCTTGATTGTTGAGCACCAGTTTTGCAATTATGCATGATTGGAGGGGTTTATAAAAAAAACCAAAAATAAAAAGAATCAATGGGTAATTGGTTAATAGTGATTTTATAAATTATAGAGATAAAATTCGAAACCACCCAAACTTTCTCAAAACACCTCTTTTCCTCCCTCGAATTGTGAATATATCATGAACAAATCGTAAGTAATTTATGTTTTTCACAAGCGTTCTCTATGTTCTCATTCATATAGACCTAATCAGATCTCAACCTTCTCGTTCACCTACATTCCCTAAGCCTCCAACTCTCATCTTTAGCCAGATCTCCTTCTGGTTTGTGCTTTACTTTTTTTGCCTCTTTTGGTTTGGACCCCCTTGCTAAAATTCTTGGCTCCGCCACTAAATATAACACAAATATTATACTAAGGATCTTGAGAACAAAGTTTTCAGCTCTATAATCTATTGTTTGTGAGATTTGAATACTTCTGTAATTTCAGCTCTATAGAAAAAAAAAACCCTATTGTATAAATATGTAACTTCTGTCGCCTTTGTGAGTTGTATCCAAAATGAGAGAGAAATAGAGATGGCAGAGAGAGGTAAGATGAGGGTCTGATATATTGACTATAATCTGCATTGACCATTAGTTGAATTGTGACTTGGTAATACTTCGATGACGTTGGTAATTACCTTTGTCGCCTTCATGGTTGCTTTTTCTCTAGTTTTCATTCTTTCTTCCAATGATATGTGGTTAGATTTTTTCGTTGTGTTGGTAACAATGATATGGGTCCGTGATGAAGCCAGGATTTTGTTCAAGAAGGCAATAAGTGTTCAAGAAAACAATTTTCACTTTTGAAGACCTTGGTCATATCTATTTCCCTCATTTTACTATCATCCAAAATGATCTTTTGCTGCTAACAGAGTTCACGTTGAGTGTGACATCACGATCGTGTTTATTGACATTTATTATTTTTGGCTCAATAGTTGAGCAGGTGTTGCAGGTTTATTTCTTCTATAATTTGGTGAAGCAGGTTTTATTTCCTTTAAGTAATGCATAAAATAAATTTCACTTTTGTGTGTGTGCAAGAACCCCACTTGATCTATTATCACCAGCTTGAGCTAGTTCTTCAAAAGTCAAATGTTTTGATCCGTATGAAATGTATGATACAACATGGCATTTTCTGATTTTTACTTATTATTTTAGGGTACTGTAAAGCTTCTCTTTCAGCCAGCAGAGGAAGCTGGAATAGGTGCTAAAAGAATGATTGAAGACGGTGCATTAAAGGACGTGGGGGCTATATTTGCTGTTCATGTATCTCATGAACACCCCACTTCTGTTATTGGATCGAGACCTGGTCCTTTACTCGCAGGATGTGGCTTCTTCAAAGCAGTGATAAGAGGTCGAGAGGGTCTTGCTGCAAATCCACACCATTCAGTTGACTCCATTTTAGCTTCTTCTGCTGCAGTAATCAGTTTACAGAACATAGTTTCTCGTGAAGCAAATCCTCTAGATTCGCAGGTGATGTTTCTGTAACATAAAGTTCATTGATAGCCTTCTTATTTCTGATGGTGATGATTGAACAGAAACTGGACATCTTTGATCTTTATTTAAATTCTCTCTTTTTGTAATTATTTTTTCAAATTTAAGTTAGGACAAATTTTTAAAAAAACCCCTTTTTTCAATTTATTAAGCAAAATTGACCATTTTGATTTTTAATTAGCAAAACCGACCCTTTTTCCCCGAAAAGGATCGGTTTTGCTGAAATGAACTTGTGCGAAGTGTACGGGACTGGTAGTCCCGTACACTTGGTGTTCGTCCCTCCGTCTCCCCCAAAATTTCCACGCCCCCAAACCAAAAAATCAACTGCCCCATCTCCTCAAAGCCCCCCTCAAACCCCCCTCTCTCTCTTTATATTCCTGAACTTGTGCGAAGTGTACGGGACTGGTAGTCCCGTACACTTGGTGTTCGTCCCTCCGTCTCCCCCAAAATTTCCACGCCCCCAAACCAAAAAATCAACTGCCCCATCTCCTCAAAGCCCCCCTCAAACCCCCCTCTCTCTCTTTATATTCC